CGCCGCATCTGTGGACGGCGATACCAAATCAGCGAAGCCATTCTCAAAAAGGAAAGGAAAACAAAATAATGAAGCCGCGTAATACCTGACTAGAGACGCAGAGAAAAAGAGAACCCAGAAGCCCCGATTCCCACTTTACTAATCTGCTTCAGAATGAGTCACAACAAGCCTAGACGCTTCAAAAATCATCATCCGCGGCGCGGACAATCTTCTCGAGGCCATAAATTTATTGGGTAACTACACATACACTTACCCTTTTCCCCCCTGATTCGTCTCTTTGTTATTGCTCATTTGCTTTCTTTTTGGGCTTTTTCAGAGAGGACGAGTGTTTGCCAATCGACCCAGGTGCCTATTTTATCTGTGATTTAGTTGTGTTTATAGAAGCCCCATTATGGTGGAGGGGCATTGAATTTAGGTGCTTGATGAGTTCCTTTGTGTTGCAGACAATGAAGAGGAGCTAGCAGTACCAAAAATTCAGCTTGCCATGTGGGTGTGTAATGAACCCTTTTCTTAAGCTTACAAAACTGTTTGTAATCTGAAATTGATGGTGTTTTGCTGTTGATTCAGGATTTTGGGCAGTGTGATGCAAAAAGGTGCACAGGACGCAAACTCGCACGATTTGGCTTGTTAAAAGAAAGTACCTAATTATCTCCTTTTCTTTTATATTCATATTTTAAACTATGTTGCTCATATCCACTCTCTACTTCATTAATGATTATACAAAATGTCTTGTTGGATGTATTGGCTTAGTTCTATATGATCTTGCCGGGAATTTTGAAAATATGTTCGCATGTGATGATTGGTATTGATATGAATATGATATTTTGGAAAACAGGAATGGAAGTCTATAGAAAAATAGGTTGTATTGTGATTAAATGCTGAAGGAAATCTAATGTTAGATGGTTTAGATCATAAAAGTTGCAACTTGCAAAATCAGGGACCAAATGAAATACTAAAAACTAAGGAAAAAAAGTACAGTTTGCTTGAATTATTTCTAAGTTGCTTCATCAAATGAGGTTGTATGGTTTAAAACTAAATGAATAATCTGATGCATGCTCGTTTAAGGTTTTAGTTGGATTTCTTTCTACATATAAAAAAATTATCTAACTTCTATTGAATTCGTGCAGGATTTGCGTGTTAACAGTGGGTTTGGAGGCATTGTCTTAAGGTACTGTGAACAATTATGTTTCCTAGTGTACTAGTTGTAGCTAGACTAATACTGCCACAAGAAATTGCTTTCCTGAGTGTTGAGGAATTTTGAATTTGTTTGCTGTCTGAATGGAGGTACTTTTCTATTATTGTTGGGTGTTGTGAAGTCATCTTTGACATTTGGTGCTAATTTCCAGTAATCTGTTTGTTTTGAATGGCTTTGTGATGGAATACTTTTGAGTGAATATCTGCACGTGTCTCTAAAGAATCAAGGCTGGCTTGTAGGGGTGACCTCTAGACCAATCATTTGTTCTGAGGAGGAATCAAGGGTCCATTGGTTGATTGATTGATTAAATTGTGAGATCCCACATTGGTTGGAGAGGGGAATGAAGTATTGCTTATAAGGGTGTGGAGACCTCTTCTTAGTAGATGCGTTTTAAAATCGTGAGGTTGACAACAATACGTAACAGACCAAAGAAAAGAATATTTGCTAGAGGTGGGCTTGGGTTGTTACAAATGGTATCACAGTTAGTCACCGGGCAGTGTGCCAGCGAGAATGTTGGTCCACAAGGGGGGTGGATTGTGAGATTCCACATTGCTTGGAGAGGGGAACGAAACATTCCTTATAAGGGTGTGGAAACTCTCCTTAGCAGACACGTTTTAAGACCGTAAGGCCAACAACAATACGTAACGAGTCAAAATGAATAATATTTGCTAGCGGTGGGGCTTGGGCTGTTACATGAATGAATGAAACATATATGAAAGGAAAGGATGGGAGACCATGGACCATATAAAGGCTTCCATCATAAGAGCCGAGTGCTTATAAGCAAAAAGGGGAAAATGTAAGAGGTGGCTATGAGATTCTGAGCTCTTGCAGAGGAAATGTTCTCACTAGAGTATAGCTATTCGTTAGTGAATGTGTGGTCTATGAACTAGCTAAGTACTTTGTTTAGCCCTTACTCTGTTACAACCTTTGCCCATTTCATAATGTATTGACTAAATTCTGACTCAAAGGCTTGTGAACCTTTTGCTGGTATTTTGAACCTCTTCAATCTGAAAATTTTTGCAGTCCAGTGGGGGTGAATTGTGTCTCTAAAGAAGATCATAGTCTTCTTAAACAAAGAGGCTTAGCCGTTGTGGATTGCTCATGGGCACGTCTCGGTGATGTTCCATTTGTGAAGTTGCGTTGTGGTGCTCCTCGCCTATGTAAGAGATTTACATTCTGAATATGAAATTTTTGTGTAGTTCTTAACATTACTGTTATATGATTTTTAATGTTTTTCTAAACTACGATGGAGATTTCACTAAGTTTATTGAAGTGAATTTTCCTGGCAAGACTCTATTTGGTTGACTTAGGCAATGACTATAATTATTATATGATGGTTTTTTCTCCTGATTCTGATTTTCACTTTCTGCAAATATTGTAGTACCTTGGCTAGTAGCAGCAAACCCAGTAAATTACGGTCGACCATGTGAGTTATCTTGTGTCGAAGCGTTAGCCGCCGCTCTAATCATATGGTAACACGATCTCTATGTCATCTCTTCTCATGTGTGCCTGTTGGTTTCTAGATTCTTCTGAGATTTATGTCGATTACTTATCTCATGTCGTTGGTATATCCTTTTGTCATAAATTTGGTGTAATAATCAGCTTACAAAAAAAAATCTCGTTGTAGATCTACTCATCATCTAAAATTTATAAGGGGTTGTACATCGTTTATTACAATATGCCGGTTAGATCTCACATTGGTTGGAAAAGAGACGAAACATTCCTTATAAAGGTGTGGAAACCTTTCCCTAGCAGATGTGTTTTGAAACCTTGAGGAAGCTCAGAAGGGAAAACCCAAAAAGGACAATATTTACTAGCCACGGGTCTGGGTTGTTACAAATGGTATCAGAGCTAGACTCCGGGCGTTGTGCCAGCGAGGACGCTGGACCCTCAAGGGGGTGGATTGTGAGATCCCACATTGGTTGAAGAGGAGAACAAAACATTCCTTATAAGGGTGTGGAAACCTCTCCCTAGCAGAAGTTTGCTTTATGGTTTTGTTAATGTCAACTCTCTGCTTATCACGTTTCTTTCTTGATGTTTGAACTTTTCATAGCTGGAAATATGATTATCTGTTGGTGTAATTGAGCAAGCTTTTTGTCCATTTTGTTTAACTTTTTCTATTGAACTGAACCAACAGTGGAGAAGGGGAAACAGCAGATTTGTTGCTTGGTAAGTTCAAGTGGGGCCATGCTTTTCTTTCCGTTAATAGGTATGTTTTATCGATTACCTAAGCATACCTACCGCTTCATATGTAATAGAGCTGGTTTGAAATGACTTTCTAAGTGCTTAAAAACACTCGGAAATACTTTGTTAAAGCACTTAAAGTGTAAAAAGGAGTGGAGTTCAAGGCTTGTAAATTACTATCATATGAGCTTTTTTCTATATCAATGCTTGCTAATTCCTCTTCGTATCACACAGAGAACTTCTAAAACAATACTCAGCATGCGAGAATAGTGCTGATATTATCTCGGTCCAGAATGCTTGGTTATCACAACAACGACAAGTCCCGAAGGAACCTCGTATTGTAGAAGGTATTCTTTTGAACTAAGTACATCCGTCTCATGTTTATTTTGCGCCTTAATTTGGAAAAAAATGTGTGGAGAAATCGTTGGATATAGAAGAGAAAAACGGCACAAGTATTTCAAATTTGCATCTCGTAGTTATGAAGGACATGTAAGTATCTAAATCTACGTCCAATAGTTATGTAGACACAATCGTAGCACTCTCGTGGAATAGATTGTCAAATATGTGTCGGTATAAAACGATCCGAATTGACAAAAGGCAACAGCCAACATCATCTAACCAAACCAAACCGACCAGCTGTTTTTGGTCGTTCTACATTTTAGAAAACCAAACAACTTGGGCTAAACCAATGGAGGGTAATGGCTTTTCATTTGGAAGTAGGGTCGTTTTCTAGTACTAGTTAGGGTTTAACTCGAACGAATGATGAGTTGTATGTTGTAGGTGCAGAAAAGTCATCTGTGAGCGAAGACGATGAGGGTTCCGACGATTCGGAGGATGGACTTCCACCATTGGAGAAGAACCTAAATCACTTGACCTTGCAGCAAGACAGCGACGAAGAAAGCGAGTAAAAATCGATACCATAGGGACAAAACTTTGATCTAGAGACCAAACACTTTCTACAAAGTCTAGGTTTCTTCTATGTTGCATTGCCTTTTTACTTAATAGAAGTACTAGCTCCTTTGGAGCTGTGTAATCTTTTTATCTTTTTTTTTTTCTTGTATTTATATCCCAGCGTTCCTAATAAGTAGGCCATTTGCATTTGCATTCGATGTGAGACTCTCAAATCCACCCCCTTCGGGTTCCAGTGTCTTTGTTGGCACATCGCCTTTTGTCCACCTCCTTTAAGGTTCGGCCTCCTCGCTGACATATCGCATGGTGTCTATCTCTGCTATCATCTATAATGGTCTAACCTCATTGCTAGTCGATATTGTCTTCTTTGGACTTTTCCTCAAAGTTTAAAAACGCGTATGTTTCCACACTTCATAAGAATATTTCGTTTTCTTCCTCAACCGATATGTGATCTCATAAGTTGAGTGTCGGGTTCTTATACTTTTGATCAAATCTTACCCGTGAGGCTTAATAAAAGATATTAGCTCATTATTACATAAAAATAGGGTAATTAATGACATTGAGGATTTGGACCATAATAATTTAACTCACTATCTAATGAGAGAAGAAACTGAGGCAATGGCGCTTAATTTGGGCGTACAGGGAGTGGGGAAGGGGCATTTTCGACCTTTCGTAAACGAAATATTGAAATTTAATCGACGAAGCAAAAAACCCTAGAAGTACCCCCACCCCACCCTCTCTGCGCTCTGTTTCTACTTCTACGCCATAGATTCAACAGATAAATTTGTGTTTTAAACAACACATTTCCTTTTTATCTCTTTCAAATTTCTGTTTCTTCTCTCGTCTTCGTTTGTTTTCAGGTTTCAGCGACGAGTTCAGGCAGTTGTTCCGGCACCTGGGAGTCATTTCTTCTTCTATTTTACATTTTGAGTATTGTGGGGTTTCTTCAATGCTTGCTCAGCTTTTTCCCTTTTAATTTCTAATGGTGGGTTTTGTCTTATGGAATTAGGGTTACAATTTCCCTTTCATTTCCTCCTCTAAGGAAAATTCCTCTCCGCAACGTCAAGCAAATACTTCTGTGAGTCATTTTCAAGATCGTTTTTTTTTTTTTTTTTTGATGTTCTATCTTTTATCGCGTAGTTCGATATTTTTCGCCGATTCTTATCCTTCTGGTACTGGATTCGTTTTCCCCTTTCTTTCAGGTTTGAAATTTGAGTTTTGAATTTAAAAGGATGTCTTCGAAATCGAAATATCAAGTTCTTGACAATCGACCCATTGATCAGTGGAGGGTTACGGAGTTGAAAGAGGAGCTTAAGAGACGAAAATTAACCATCAGAGGCCTGAAGGAAGATTTGGTAAAACGGTTGGATGAAGCGCTTCGAAATGAAAGGGAAGAAAATGCGGAGGAAACCGATGGTGTTGATGGTGACCCTCCAGTTACAAATAGTGACAATAACCAAGTGCATGCATCTTCGGCAAAAGACTCAAATGAAGATGCTAAAAAGATTCTGAATGTAGAAGATGTTGAAGTTCAGGTTGACAGGAATGACAGTACTGCAGCTGGGGACGATGGGGCTAGTCTCAATGGTTGTCCTAGGGTAGAAGAGGGGTCGGCTATCCATGTCACTTCTGTGGAAACTAAAATTACGGTAACTGAAAATGTGGCTTCTGAAGTAGCGTTAGGTGTGGAAGGTTTGCAGAATATGGAAAGCAAGGATAACGAAAATTCGAAGGTCGAGTTGGAGATTGAGAAATCGAAGCCCCAGGTGGATAGTGAGGATTCAAAGTCCCAGCTGGATGATGTGAAAACGGAGCTCGAGGTGGAGAATGAGAATTTGAAGTCTCAGCAGGCAGATATCGTGCACGACTTGTCTGCTTCAGACAGCCAGGTATCTGAGGTCAGCCCTGTTTTAGGGTCTCAAGTAAGAACTGATTCTATTTCTACTGATTCTGTGACAATTAATCAAATGATTGAACTAAAGGAAAATATATCTGCTGATCATGTAAAATTAGAACTAGATGTTAAGCAGGAGATGGTGGAACCATCATCCAGCATTATTGTCCCAGATGCTGGCGAATCACATCCAATGGATGTTGAAGAGCCATCTGTGAACAAGAATGTTGAAGAGTCACTTGCAAACAGAGATGTTGTGGAGTCACCTGAGAACAAAGATGTTATAGAGCCTATTGTGAATGAAGATGTTGAGGAGAAATATGATGTTAAGGACATGATTTCTGAGGTTCATGAGAAGCATGATGACACGGGGTTTTCTGAAAAGCTAAATTTAGATAGAAGTTCTGGGGACGATTCAATAGAAGATGCCATAGAGACTAAGACTGTTTTGGGGAATAATCCTAAAGAAATGGGAGAGAAGAATGTAAAGAGTGAGGGCCTTATATGCAAAGAGGAAAAGGTTGGAGACATAGCAGTGCGAGGTTCAACTGCAGATAAAAAGTATCTTGATACAGAGAATGAGGTTTCATCTTTGCCTGCTGAAAAAAGAAAGCTTCATGGTAATGATATATTTCCTGACCTTCTCCCCTTACCCCAAGCCTGATCCATTGCACCAAACTGAAGGGAAATATATACAAATTGTGTTATTTTCTCAGCATAAATTAATACTTATGCTTATAACTTCACTGATTTTGTGAATTTCAAATTTTCATTTTAGTTTTTCTGTCGTACATAAAATTTTCATCATGAAGATCAGTTTATGTTTTAGGAATTTTGAATGAAGGCTTTGCATGTTATATAATATTTTCATCTTATTTATATGCCAATACAATGGATGTCACTTTAGTTGGGGATAATGAACTATTATTATCATAGCTACTCTTTTTATTTTTCCGAATGATGTTATAACAATTAGTTGAATTGGTTTCTTCGTTTTTGTTAGCTATATGCAATATTGTAATTATTTTCATTTTCTGGTGTATATATATGCAGTTTTAGAGTACACTCAGCCACTGTCATAAAAAGAACTATAAGGAGAGTGCATCTCTATCTGTCTCTTTGAGTTTATGGAAACTAATTATTGGTTCTAGAAGTAATTGCAGTTAAAAACATCGCTAGCTTTCTTTCAATGGATTTTTTTAGTTTTCGGAAGTTTAGTTGATATTTAGTTTGCTGCTGTCTTTGCATTGGCTTTTCTGAAAGAAGTTGGTAGCTAAATGATGTTCGATGATGAAGAGAAATTCGTTGTTCATCGGGAGTATCTTAGATGTTAATTGTTTTTTTGGCATAGTCATTACTGTGTTATGTTGGTGAGTTTTCTGCAATATAGTTATTCTGGTTTTGAATATAAGTTGATGTTGGAAAAAAATTGTGTAAAGCTCTAAAGTTAAACCCCTATATTTTACCATGTTCGCTCGATGTTTTTCATTTTCCTTTTTCTTCTTGATTTGTTTGTACCTCTTTCATTCATGAAGGATTTCTTCTCGTTAGACATAAGATGACCTTCAAATATAATGGATGGCTCATGATTCTGTGAAATTTTGTTTTCAGTTGAACTAATATTTTCTCCAGCTACGGTAATTGAAAATTTTCTGGGATTTACTTTTGTTTCCAGGTAAATGGACAGGTTTCTGTCTCCATACCATATCTGTTTCTACCGATATCTCTTTCTTCATACCGTTTTCTGGCCATACCATGAGGCATCAGTCAAGATGTTTTTTCGTGATGGATTGTCCCCATTTCAGTGGAATCCTGCTCTTTTTCACTCCATGTTAAAATCTACTAAAATGTTAAATTTTAGTCGCTCTTCTGCAAATTCCAAGTTTTGTCCTGAATGAGAATCTGTTTCTCTGTTTATAGAACTTGATGTGCTGTTTGATTGGTAGACGTGAAAGTCTTATTGATTTTGATTCGGTTGAATAACATTATTCTGCATTGGATTTTCTTCACATTTAGATCAATTGTCTTGGTTTTGTTTTGTCTGATGAGATTATTTGGCAGATCAAGCAGTGGTTGGAAATGAATCTGTAAAGAGACAGTGTAGGTGGAATGCTGAAAACCTCAAAATTCCAGAGCCTCAAAACACTGCTCATACATCTACTAGTAATTCAAAGGACATTCATCAGTCCATTACTCCGAAACGCAACTTCTCCAGATCTGACTCCACAGCTAGTGAAGATCCATCGAAGGAACGTGTTGGTGAGTTAAATTTGACAAGTTGACTATATTGCGAATTCTGGGCCACATCTGACTCACTTTCCTCTCTTTTGCCTTGTATAGTTCCACCATCACCAAAACCTCCCACAAATTCACTAAAAATCGACCGTTTTCTGCGTCCATTTACCCTCAAAGCTGTGCAGGAGCTTCTGGGTAAGACTGGTAGTGTCTCCAGCTTCTGGATGGATCACATCAAGACGCATTGCTATGTAACTGTAAGACTCTTCGATCCTAGTTGCCGGAATCTAATTTGTTCCCTGCTTATAGGAGGTTCATAGTTTTGGAATTTGATTCCTATGGACATTACATACTAATTGTTGCTTGGAAACTACTGTCAATGATCCCAGTACTCATCGGTGGAAGAAGCCATGAAGACTAGAGATGCTGTTTACAACTTGCAATGGCCACCAAATGGTGGGCGTCTTCTTATAGCTGAGTTTGTTGATCCTCAAGAAGTAAAAATTCGAGTGGAATCTCCACAGGCTCTTAAACCTGCGGCAGTTGCTCCACCGGTTTCTACTATGCCCCCACCGATGCCACCAGAGCCTTCACCTCGTCAACCAAGGCAGCATTTTGCTCCGTCACCTTCTTTGCCACCACCCCCACCCACAAACAACCTTGCTCAAGCAAGGGAGCAGCTTCCACTCCCACCCCCACCTGCACTTCCTGATAAAGTCGACACTCCCATCGTCACATTAGATGACCTCTTCAAGAAAACCAAAGCTACTCCTCGCATCTACTATTTACCTTTATCAGATGAACAGGTGCAGGTAAAACGTGCAGCAGCAGCAAGGGGAAAAGACACCAAGCAGTAAGTCGAGACAATGCCCAGTGTCTCAGTGTTGTATTGTGGCTGCTGCTACTGCCGCCCTGTGGATTCCTTAGTGATTTTAGAGTTTGCAAAGGTAAAAAAAAAGCGTAGAGTGGCATGTTTTTGAATGTCTTGAGTGCTGGCAGGGAGGAATTTATCTCTGTTAAGCTGAAAATGGCAAAATAGAGTATCAGATGGGTAGGTTTTTCTTGCATATTGGTTAGGATATTGAGAATTGACTTCTAAAATTGAGATTACTCTGTATTTGGTTATGTAATCATATTTACCTGTCGGAACAAATGAACCTATGAGTTAGATTTGTTGTATCACAGGATGCCTTCAACCTCTTTGGATCTCGTTTCTTACTGTTCTTTTGACTGTTCTTTAAATGTGTCAGCTTCTTGGTTGTATTGTATTTAACAAAGATATTTAGACCATATTCTTAGAGCTTCTACATCTCTACAATTTATTCAATACAAGCAATTAGGGTTCATTTGAATTGTCAATATTAGCTTTTTATTTGACCACAGAAAGTTTATAAAGGAATGAAAGAAAGTTATTGGGTATTTTTTAAATGTGGTACTTTTAGGCTTAAAGTTCGAAAGTTGGCTTAAGCGAACTCTAGTTGACTTTAAATTAGTTAATCCTCGTGTTCCACTAGTAAATCTTTTTCACCCATGATCCAATAAGACCAACTTAAATGGCCTATATATATATATATATATATATTTTGAAGAGGATTTAAAGTCTAAAATTAAATTAAAAGGTAATCTCACAATGGAAGGCAAAAATATAAATCACGGTGGACGTTACCGGCGTTGTTCTAGTTTCATCTCCTTTGATTTGTTCCGCTTCTACTTTTCTGGGTCCAATTTAGTTTTCTTCCCCTGATTCTGGGTTTTGTTGGGCACCTCAAGGTGTGTATACTTGCTTGGAGTTTCGATATCTTTCATCTTTCTTGTGTTGCTTGCTGCGCCTCTAGGGATTTCTACTGTTCATATTATTATTAGTTTGACAGTGTAGTTTGTTGCTGCTGTACTGGAATGAATAGCGTGTTCAGCGAGCAAATACTTGCCGATATGCTGTCGAAGCTCAATAGCACGCAGCAGTGTATTGAAAGTATCCTTTTCATTTGCTTACTCTTCTGTAATGCTATACTTCCGTTATCGTTGCGCCATTTCTCATCTCTTTTTAGGTTGGGATAATCTTGTTGCCTTTGATTTCCATTGTTTTGGGAACTGGTTGTTGCAACATGGGATAAGCAATTCCACAATTCAGAAATGGCCCAGAAAGTTCCTCTTCTGTATCTTGCTAATGATATCTTACAAAACAGCAAGCGTAAGGGAAATGAATTTGTTTCTGAGTTCTGGAAGGTTCTTCCATCAGCGCTTAAGGATATTCTTGACCATGGTGACAACCATGAAAAGAATGTGATTTCCAGAATGGTAAGACCTTCATTCCTGTTCTAAGATTTTCCTATGAGCTTTACTTGTAGAATTTATCAGGAGAGCTACTCCCTTTTATTGGGTGTCTGAGATTGTTGTCTGAGATTCTTGAGCATGAAAATTGTTAAAAAAAGTACTTGTGGTTGCACGTTTTTAGGTAGATATATGGGAACAAAGGAAGGTATTTGGATCCCGAACTCGAAGCCTCAAAGATGTAATACTTGGGGAAGAGGCACCTCCACCTCTAGAGTTTAGTAAAAAACGTACTCGATCAGTCAGAATAGTCAAAAGAGATTCAAGGTCGATTAGAACAGTGAGCGACCGTTTTATCTTCAGCTTTGTTTTCGATTTTCATTTGTTTTGTGTGGCACCAAAAGTTATGAAACACTTTTGTTTGATTCGTAGTTGATTTGACATTATATATCCTTAATTTGGTATGCAGCAATTGTCTATTGGAAGTACAGCTGAAAAAATTGTATCAGCATTCTACCTGGTTTTGAGTGAATGTTCTAATGAAGAAACTGAGATGACCGACTGTAACTCTGCAGTTCAACGTGTACGGAAGATGGAAAACGATGTGGATTTTGCTTGTTCCATGGGTATGGCAACAATGATTTGACCCAAGCCCACCAGATATTGTCCTCTTTGAATTTTCCCTTTCGGGTTTTCCCTCAAGGTTTTTAAAATGCATTTGCTAGAGAGAAGTTTCCACACCCTTATAAAGAATGTTTCGTTCTCCTCCCCAACCGATGTGGGATCTCACAATCCACTCCCTTCGAGGCCCAGCGTCCTCGCTGGCACTCATTCCCATCTCCAATCAATGTGAGATCCCACATCAGTTGGAGAGGGTAACAAAACATTGTTTATAAGGGTGTGGAAACCTCTCTCTAATAGACCCGTTTTAAAAATCTTGAAGGGAAGCCCGTAAGAGAAAACCTAAAGAGGATAATATCCGCTGGCAGTGGGTTTGGGCCGTTGTATCTAATTTGTTTCGAAAGGAATTCATATTTGTTCTTTTAGTTGCAATTGCCAAATTATTTGGTCTCTGAGTTTCTATCAGTATCCACCAGCGAAGAATCCTCAGCGTAAAAAGTTAGCCAAAGAACTGGAAGAGGAAGAAAGTATTCTGAAACAGTGTATTCAGAAACTACAATCATTTGAAGCCAATCGGATGGCACTTATATCTCATTTAAAAGAAGCCCTGCATGTTCAGGTATCTTGATCAATCATTTCAACATGTCCTTTGAAGTTTGAACAAATTTTTATTTCTGTATTACATTATGAAGTATGAACTACTGACAAGTTTGGGGAACTGGACAACCAATTGTAGGAATCAGAGCTAGAGAATATTCGAACACAGATGCAGGTATGTTCTTGAGTGAATTAGACTCGTTTTGCTTAGGCTTGTACTTAACGTTTGATAGATCTTCAACATGAATGTTGTAGTTTGACTGTTTGCAAGATCTCTTATCGGTTGGGGAGGAGAACGAAGCATTCTTTATAAGGGCGTGGAAACCTGTTTTCAGCAGACGCGTTTTAAAAACCTTGAGAGGGAGCCCGAAAGAAAAACCCCAGAGATGACAATATCTATTAGCGGTGGGCTTGGACCATTATAAATGGTATCAGAGCCAGACATTGGGCGACATGCCAGTGAGGAGACTAAGCTCCAGAGAGGAGAACGAAACATTCTTTATGAGTGTTCTTTATAAGAGTGTGGAAATCTCTTTTTAGGAAATGTGTTTTAAAAACCTTGAGGGGGCTATAATTTATGTATGACTCTGATGGGTGCTGATAATTGAATTTTTGGTTACCATTACCTATTTCGTTTCGAACTTAATTACAGGTAGCTCAGGCTCAGGCAGAGGAGGCTAAAAATGTGCAAAATCGGTTAAACGATGAAGGTTATCTATCAAAACGTTCCACAATCAATTCAAATGCGAAAGCTGGACGGAGTCCTAACAAGTCTGCTGCAGCCATTGCAGCAGAGGTTTCTGTCAAGCTCGCAGCTTCTAGCTCGTATCAAATGATCATGACATCGGTTCTCTCCACATTTGCAGCTGAGGAGGCTAAGAATACTGTTCTAACAAAGACCAATAACGGATCGAATGCGTTCACGCCCAACCCCGTGCGCTCTGCCAATTCTATTACAAAACCTGAAGCATCAGCCATTGTTTCAGATCCTAATGTTTTCATGTCTATGCAGCCCCTTCCTGCACCAGCTAACCATTCATATCAATCAGTTATGGTGCCCCAACCGGCAATGCAAAGCCAAGCCCCCAATTCACAAACTCCATATCAGATGCTTCCGAACGCACCTTCCCAGCAATATATGCAGCTCTCGAATGGAGTCTTAACCCCATATGGTTATGGTAGTCTTCCAAGCTCGACTCCGGTACCACCACCGCCTATTCCCCGTATGGTTAGTCCAATGGTGCCCTTGACTCAGCAGTTGCTGCAACAGCCAATGCCCTTAGCTCAGCAACCATCACCTATGATACAAACACAACCAGTCCCTTTCGCACAGCAACCATTAGCACCTAGTTTCCGACCGCCTTAGCCGCCCGGGATGGTGTATTATGGACACCTTCCCCCTTCTCGGTGAAAATTTTGTACTAAAGGTACCCTCCCCCTTCCTGTAAATTTAGCATCTTGAGCTGACTTATTGTACATTACCTTATCCTTTGAATGTCAGGCCATGTCATAGACAACACCACACTAGTCGTTGCTCGTAGCTCTCCGAACGTACGAGCCTGTGAATGAAGCAAGATCGAAATCATATGGAGCTGTGGCGGTAAGAACTTGCGATATCTACTGCATAATTTTGAGATAATGACATTAAGATCAGTCTCTTTCTCCCTCAGCCTTACTTGGTGGGTGAAAATGTAGAAAGTATGGAAATAATGTAACTGGTACAGGGCTCCACACTTTTGGGAGATCACTCAGCCCACCCTACAGTTTCTTAAATAGGTTCCATATCGTCCAGTTCAATTGTACTGATAAAAGAACAAGCAGACGACAGAGACAACGAGCTAGCCCGCCCACACGAATGTCGATGTTCTTCAGCGTTGAAGATGTAAAGGAGCTAGCAATGGCTGGCTAGTAGGCTTGTGGCAGCAGCCTCCATGAAAGTTGTATAAGGGAGTTTCATGGTTATTGGGTCAGCTTGGGAATGAAAATTCAAAGGCTCAAAACCATAGGTCAATTGAGAGCTTAGCTTAATTTTAAATGATAGATTGAAGCGGGACGAATAATCAATAATCAAGGTGTAAGAAGTGAGTCGTTCGTGGATTGGGTTGAGTCGGGTTGAGACATTTTTTTAAAGTAACCCAATTGATGTGAATAGTAAATTTTTATTTTTATTTAAAGTAAAACATTTGTTTTTTTTTTTTTTAATTTTCAAACATTTAATTAAATTTCGCCACTCCTTTGATGAAAATCCTTCATTTTTTGTACACAACAAAACCCAATTCAATTTTGATCGTGTCATGTTTTTCAAGTCATCGAGTTTTTTGAACACCTTTAATTTCTAGTTATAACAATCTACCAACGAAAACCATATGAAATCGAAAGTAACAAAATTTAGATTAATCAATTAAAAACAATGAAAGCTATCCACTCGCCATTCAAACTCGAACCAAACAAACCAGGTGTGAAGATGATCGAACGAACTCGATCCAACTATGAGATGTGTTATTTAAGAATTGTGGAGGATCCAAAGAATTCACAAAGTTTTTGGTGGGGTGGGTGTGGCTTCAAATTCTTTGTGAACAACAAATGTTTTTGAGACAAGTTGTTTTAGGGTTATAATGAAACAATTTATCTGTTAAACTATAAAACTCCATCTTTTAATTAACAATTGCCAATTGGGATGTGTCACTGTATTGGTGCCGAAAGTGAGTCATCATCATTTGTATTACAAAATTTTGTTCATATTGGAACGACAAGCACACATGGTGGGGTCGACTAGACTCGATTTAAATCTATTTAAAACTCGATCGGTTGAATTATGTTGAAGGGATTCTTCGATGTGTTATTGTTATTGTGGATGTTGAAATATAAATTATTTGAATAGGCTACCATAGTGTAATTGTATGTTGACTTTTAATTGAGCGTTATTAAGGGTATGAAAACTTTTGAATGTATATATCCATTTGTTAATGTTATATCTAAGTTAATAATCAAAATCATTCGCCTCGTAAGTCCTCAATATTAGAACTTACCGGGGCTTGTTGATTTGTCCACATTTTTCTTAGTTCTTCGGAATTCTTACATTTAACCAATTCCTTGCTATGGTGTCTGATGAACCAAGTGCCACTGAGGAGTTAATTGGTGACCCTTAATGGAGCTAGGTTTAACCTAATATACTGCTCACGAAAACAATTTGGATGAGTTACGAAAGGGTGCCTCCAAGTCTTAACCAACTTTGAGACCTATGTGGGTTCATCGTGTATGATAAAACACCACCAAAGGTTAGGTGGTGACCCTATAATGGAACTAAACCCATATGGAGATAGTAACTCATGCACAATATTCATAACAAACCCTTATCAAATGTACATGATAACCAGTACATACGTGAATTATAACACAATAACTTCGCACATTCATAAGGATTCACGTCTGATGGAATGGCGGAACCAAATAGCTATAGCGACTTACATTTGGAATAACAATGAAATCGAAATACTAAAGCACGACGAACGACCGAATGAAATGAGAGGAGAGTGGGAACCAACAACGCAAGGAGAAACTAAGAGAGTAAGGGAGACCAAGCGTGAGGGGAGATCGGGAGATGTAGAGATTGAGAGAGCAAGGAGAGTTGGAGAGTGAAACCAAACCACTCGTCGTGAGAAGGAGGGTGAAGTCAGACCTCTTAAGGTTATATAGATTTTTTCAAACCAACAAAACTCAACCATCCTTAATAAACCTAGGAAGTCAAAGTTAGCCCTCTTAATCCCCATTTCTCCGATGAACAAAAGTTATTTCTCGATGAATTAGACATGAAGGTACTTTCAACGAATCGTGATTAAACACTGATTTTTCAATCAAAGGTCAATGAACGAGGGATAAGTCGATCAAAATAAATCTAAATTCATTAAAATTAGATTAGCTCCGCAATTATTGACCTGGGTCTGATATCTATTTTGAGTGATAATTGGAATTAAATTTAATTAATTTAACTTTTTTCTAAAAATCATAAATTACTTTTAGTGGGTGGCACTGTATGGATAACAGCCCACTTTCTAAAGTCAACTTATGAAGAAGGTTCTTATCAAATTAGTTGCATTATTATGGAAGGCATCATTAAAACTTGAGGCCCTTTCACATGGTTGGCTTCCCAAATGCTATCCAAAATAATGTTTATGATAGGATGATACGAATAAAACACTATCTTATTAAGCATATCAAACACAACATCCTTAATTATCTCATAAAACATTGAAAATTACAACCTAAAGAAACATGAAAGAGGACAAAGCCACTTCATGTCCTGTTTTTGTTGCTGTCGGCCACCGGAGCAATGCTTCCCGGGTGAACTTTGTTACTCCTTGCAATCAAAGAGCCACTGCCGCCCGAGCTGATTGCAGCGGTGGCCTCACCTCGGGACGGTCGATTCGCTTCCATTCTCTCAAGCTTGTCCTTCTGTTGTTTCTGTAGGAGGTGAATTTTGGCGTAGGAAGCTCCAATGGATGACATGATTCTAAGAGGAAAGAAGAAGAAGAAGAAGCAGAAGATTGTTGGGTTTTGTTTTCTTGTCGTGTTGGAAGTTTGTTTAGGTTTTGTTGTGTTTGGAAGCTTTAAATTTGGTCGTATTTATAGGCCATGCATGCTTTGGCCAAGGGCCATGGCTGCTCTCTAAATAAATTAAATCCAATGCTCCAAAACCCATATGGTTTCTTTCATTTTCTTAATCAATTCCATTGTCTTTGTCAAAGAAGAATATACTTTCTATAATGGGTTCTTCCCTCGAACTCTCCGGGCCGTATTTTGTATTTTGTATTTCATAACGTAAAGGTACTTTATAAACTAGATTCAAGATGAGGCAAATTTAGATGAAGGGTCAAATTATATTTTATCGTTAGATTAGGTTAGGTAAGATTGGATAACGACAACAAACCCTCTTATTTTCAGTTCCATCCAAAAGGTTTCGTATCAATTGAGGTAAGTTTGTTTTCACTTATATATCATGAATCAATCAATATAATTTAATATTACATATGAACTTGTACGAACTAACACATGATGCAAAAACATAAGAGTATTTATGTGACACTCGAGTAAATGAGGACTACATGAATGAACTAATATCACATCCGAATGAGAGTGGTTCTAAGGATATGATGGCTAAGAAATGCTTAAAAGAAATGAACGTTACTATCTATACCAACAATGTGCACTTTACTTTCGGTGGCTCAACCATAAGAAAACTATGCTTTAATTAGAGTAATTTCATACTAGGTGACCTCTTAAAAATTTTCCTAAGATGCATGTGAGTGAGGACAAGACATGCTGGGAAAACTTAGGTTAGTTTGTGAGGATAGTTTTCACTCTTTGAAGTGAGAAGTAAGTAAGGTGACTATGTTACAAGGGATGCAAAGGAATGTCGGGGCATACTTTACTTAGAGCAATTCTACGTTGGTTGACCTTTTGGAAAATTTTCAAATATGCATGTTTGTGAGGACAAATCATGCTTGAAAAACTTGTGTTGTTATTTGGGGATAGTTTCACTCCTAGAAACGAGGAGTGAGTAAGATGACCATGTCTCACGGGATTGAGAAGAATGTCTAGGCCACCCCCATGTGCCGAATCCATATTCCAAATCCTGATCACCTGACCATTTATTTCACATTTTTTTGCACAACCCAAACACGTGCTACACAAACTCAAACACCTCGACTCCGAACTCAAACATCCTTTTCGCGATGAGTTCATACGAAACCGACTAATTCCAACTATTGACCAACCAACCAGTTGAATTAAAATAAAACCAAAGCACAACACAAAGCATGCCATTCTCTTTAAGAGTAGGTGAAATGAAAGACCATGTCTTAGAAAATATATAGTTTTTTTTTGGTATTATTTAATGTGAAGGATTAGAGATGGTTTTAATGATAGGCACGAATGAGAAGGAATAGTGGTGCGTCGGACAAAGGCATTTTTTCAGGTCACCATAGTGGAAGAAGCACACAGAGACTCAATGAAATAATTATAATAAATTTCCTGAGTGGCAGTGGCGTGGCATATCTATTAATTAGTAACCACAAATGATGCCACGTCGGATGTGTGAAATGGAAGCTGCCTAGCTGGACGCATTGTTATTGGGGTTAATCACTGCTTAAATTTTCTAATTAAGACACACCCCTATAATGGAGCCTTTTATCTCCTTAATTATCAGCCACGCTGTTGTTGGAATCCAACTTGGATAATAGGGTGCTTTGGCATCTAATCATTTTTTTAATTAAAAAATTAGTTTAAATTACAAATTTGGTCTTATGGATGGGACGTAATCTCGATCTGATTCTTATAATTTGAAACAAAACATTCTTTATAAAGGTGTGAAAACTTCTACCTAGTAGACACGTTTTAAAAACCTTGCGAAAAAACCCGAAAGAGAAAGCACGAAGAGAACAATATATGTCAGTAATGGTCTTGGGCAGTTACAGATTAGTATCAAAGCCAGACACCATATGCTGTGCTAATAAAGACATGTTGTAAAAACATTGGGGGAGGTCTGAAGAGAATAATATCAGACAATTATGATAACTTCTAATTTCTTAATCTGGTCGTATGTCTTAAGCTAGTTGAAGTTATGATAATGTTGATCAAATAAGTGATTATTATAAAAGTTTGTAGGATGGAGGGATTGACATTTCGAGATTTTTAAAAGCAGACGAATACGAGCATAACTTAGTGCATAAAGTAAAAATTACATCATTTTAGAAGTCAATGGTTCAATCTCGAACCTTACCACCGTTGAACTACCAAACATTTGTTCTCATTTAGACGAGAAAATACTTACCAATTCAAACTATAAAACACACTAAGCTTGTTTCTTCTTTTGAATCATTTGTTTGAACCAATAGGCCGACATCTTAGGAATTCTCTTGAGGTTGTCTTTGTAATCTACATATATGATACCAAACCTTGAAGTATATCCCGATAGCCATTCAAAGTTATCGAGCAATGACCAAGCGAAGTAGCCAGTCACATTAGCTCCATTATCAATAGCTTTCTTCATATTCTGCAAGTATGTTTTATAGTAATGTATTCTCTCTGTATCGTTTAATCCTTCGGGGAGTGGGATATCAGAAGTATCCATACCTGTCGTTAAAACATGTCAATATGAACATAGCTCAACGATAATTGATATATACTTCTTTTGAAGTTGCTCGAGTTAAACATGTCAACTAGTTGAGTACGAGTGCTCTACCATTTTCTGAAACAATAACGTTTGGGTTCCCATAGTGTTGCTTCACATACATCAAAGCTTTGTACATTCCCCATGGTACTTCGTACAACCAACCTGTATGAGCCTGAGAATCAAATTTAGAGTAAACTTCTATTTAGGTCAAGAAAGTATGAACACACGTACGTCTCGACATGTTACAAAACGTGTCTAGGACACAACTTGTAACGGCCTAAGCCCACAGCTAGTAGATATTGTCCTCTTTGACTTTTTCTTTCGGGCTTCCCTTCAAGGCTTTAAAACATGTCTGGTAGGGAAAGGTTTTCACACTATTACAAGGATATTTCGCTCCTCAACTAATGTGGGATATCATAATGGCCACTTACCAGCGAGGATGCTGGGCCCTGAAGGGGGTAGATTATGATATCCCACATTGGTTGGGGAGGAGAACGAAACATCTTTCATAAGAGTTGGAAACCTTTCCGTAGCAGACGTGTTTTAAAGCCTTGAGGGAAAGCCCGAAAAGAAAAGCCCAAAGAGAACAATGTCTGCTAGCGGTGGGCTTGGGCCGTTACACAACTCTTGAAAAAAAATAGTGGCGTGTCGTAGTAGATCACCCCATTTTCTCTAACCGAGTATTAAAGGCGAGAACTACACAAGATCGGACTTCAAAGCTCAAACACTCCTAACACCGAAACAATTTAAAAGTTCGAGATTAAAAAGAGATTACCCTCGGACCAATAGGTTTTCCATTCTTTTCATCTGTAGAAGAAAACATGTATATATTAAACAAAGGCTATTGATCTCGAAGAGGTGAAAGAATTAAGAGAGTAAATGGACTAACAAGCATAGCCAACATTCCAATCTGATTGATACCCATGAGTGGTTGGTTTGGGCCAAGTAGGGTTGAACATATAGAACGTGGTGTATTGATTGATACCCACAAAATCCACTGACCCTTTCACCAATTCAACCTCTTCATAGCTGAATTTTGGTAGCCTTTCCTTCACAATTTCTTGCATTGTTCTTGGATATTCACCATATGTAAAAGGATGCAAGAACCTAAACCAAAATTACAACCAAAAACAAACATTCAATCTAAATTTTCTTTTCATAATTACATATTTTACCATCCAATATGAAAATCTCTTGCTCTTTGAGCTGCATCGTTGTCTTCTTTTCCTTTTGTGAGAGGTTCGTAATACGTAAAATCAAGTAAAATCCCAACTCGTCCTCCTTGTTTCCCCTGAAACAATTTGTAAGAGGTTTATTAACGACGTGTTTCGGGATTGAAACGATGTGTTTCAAGACTTACTTGAAATTTCTTTCTATATCTGTCAACTACAGTAGCATGGGAAAGAATGATATTGTGAGCCACGATGTAAGGTTCAGTTCCTGAGTTTCCTGTTGTACAGTTTCCATATTCTTTTGAACACCTTGAAGGAGGCATTATACCACTGTTGAAACCAACATCAGCTATAACTCTTGGTTCGTTAAACGTCATCCAATTCTTTACTCTATCTCCAAATTCTTCGAAACAAAATTCAGCATAATTTGTAAAATCGATCCTGCATATTGTTAAAGACTGCGACTATAACCCTGTCGTATCGTATGAAAATATCTCCACTGATATGAACCCTTTAAACTAAAAGCTTACACAATTTGCTTGTCTAGTAAACCTCCATATCTCTCTTGAAGTGACAAGGGAAGATCATAGTGGTAAAGATTTGCATAGGGTGTGATTCCTAAATGTTTCAAATTAAAAGAACACAAAAAAAAAGTTATAGAACGACAATCGTAATAGTAAAATTTGATCGGTTTTTGAAGTAAAATTGACGAAGAATTAAAGGAATTATTGTGGATTGATTATACCTCGTTGAATCATGTAGTCAATCAATTTATTATAGTACGCAACTCCTTTCCAATTTACTTCTCCTGATCCATCTAGTGAAAAAAAAAATGAAATTTTTCTAAGTATATATGATTCTATGTCGACGCTAATGATGTTTACGCTTCGAAAAATGAATGTAAAAGAAAATTTTATTACTTGGAAATATCCTCGGCCAAGAAATTGAGAAGCGATACGCATCGAAGTTCAACCTCTTCATGTTATCGATGTCTTCCTAATGGCAGACAAGAAATCAAATTAAAGACAATTTAATTAATACATATAGATATTTTATTAAAACAAAAGCGCATATTTTAATTTGTTGAGTCATGCTCGAGCATACAACCAAAAAAATTAGTTACAAATGCAAGACTCGTATACATACCTTGTATCGGTGATATTGATCGACAGCGACATCTCCAGTAGCATTGCCAGCGATCTTTCCTGTTCAAACATCTCACATTTTGAAAAAGAAAATGAAGTAGATTTGTTGATATCTTCTAATGTTTTAACTAGAAATAATGCTATAAAGACTAAATTAATACTGAAATCAACTGTACCAGGAAGTTTAACAAAGGGATCCCAAATGCTTGGGCCTCGGCCATCTTTGTCAGCCATTCCTTCTACTTGATATGCAGAAGTTGCAGTTCCAAAGACAAAGCCTTCGGGAAATGCAGCTCGGCTGAGGCCTCCGGTGTCGAAGACGACACCGGAGAAATCGTAAGGTGGTTGGGATGAGAAAATTGTAGCATTGAGAGACAGCAGAAGAAGGATGAAGAAGTTGATTTTCATGGCTTTTTGGGTGAGAAAGAATAGAAAGATAAGAGAGAAAGGAGTGTTGAGTTTCAGAATTATTGGTTTTAGGATACCAAATTGCACAACAAAACAAATGGCTCTTATCCAAACTAAATTCACGGGTCATCTGTACACTTTTTCTTTCACTTTAATTGTTTCAGTCTCACCGTTTCCTTATAAGAAATATTTCGTTTTCCTTTCATGCTGATGTTGACCGATGTGAGATCTCACAATTCTCTCTTTTGGAGGCGCTTTCAACCTCACGGTTCTTTTATAAAGAATGTTTTGTTCCTTTCTCTAACGGATGTGGACTGATGCGATATTTCACAATCTACTCATTTGGAAGCCCAACGTACTTGCTAACACGCTGCTCGGTGTCTAACTCTAATATCATTTGTAAAAGTCTCAACCCTAATACTATTTGTAATTGTCTCAGCCCAAGTCTACCACTAACAAATATTGTCTGTTTTAGCGTGTTACATATCACCTTCAGCCTATTTTAAAATAGATTTATTAGATAAATGTTTTAAAAATGTTTCGTTCCCTCTCTAACTAACATTGAATTTCAATGATAGTTTTGAAATATAATAAAAAATTTAAGTTTAATAAATTTATAAATTTTAAAAATAGTAAATAAATTAAATGGATTTAACAAAGTTATAAGTTAATTTTTAATGTTAAAAAGAAAAAAAAAAGCTTATATCAATTAAATATAAAATTAAAATCTTTGAATTTGTTGGATTTTTTTTTTTTTGTAATTTACATAAATTAATTCTTCAAAGAAGAAGAAAAAATCCCATAAATTAATGTAAAGAAAAAAGAAATATATTTTTGTCTATTATCTGATTTAATTTATAAGAAATATTTATATTCATATTCCAATTTCCTTCGGAGTCGAACCAGCCCGCGAAGCTTTTTGATTCGTATTGTTCGTTCTCTGTTCTTCGGAAGCCGACTGAATAGCTCTCCAATGGAGGAAACCAATAAAACCACCAAAAGAAAGCTGGTGAAGAAATCTGAAAACAAGGTAGACAAGAAACCAAAGAAGGAGCTAGATGATCCCGTTCCGCCTCAACCACACGACGACGATTCCGACTCCGATTTGGACGATCTTTCCAAACTCCTCCAGCCTTTCTCCAAGACACAACTAATCGAGCTCATTTGCAGCACTGCTCTTAAAGACCCCAATCTTGAAGCCCAAATTCGAGCGGCTGCCGACCGCGATGTCACTAACCGCAAAATCTTTGTTCATGGCCTCAGTTGGGACACGACCCGAGAAACCCTAATGTCAGTTTTTGAATCTTTTGGTGAAATTGAAGATTGCAATGTGGTTATGGACAAAAATACAGGGAAGGCTAAGGGATACGGGTTTATTTTGTTTAAATCCCGGCAGGGTGCGACTAAGGCGTTGAAGGAACCTAGGAAGAAGATTAATAACCGGATGACTTCGTGTCAATTGGCTTCTTTGGGTTCGGTACCGCCCCCGCAAAGCCATGAGATTGTCTCGCGGAAGATTTATGTCGCTAATGTGCACCATAACGTGGATGCTGAGAGGCTTAGGGCTTTCTTTGCGAAGTTTGGAGAGTTAGAGATGGGTCCGATAGGGTTTGATCCTGAGACAGGGAGATCGAGAGGTTATGCCATTTTTATTTATAGAACGAATGAAGGTGCGAAGAAGGCTCTTGAGGAGCCACACAAAGTGTTCGAAGGGAACAAATTGCACTGCCAGAGGGCGTCTGAGGGGAAGAACAAGAATCAAAATTCGACGCAGGCATCGAAGAGCTTGGGGCAAAGTCAGCCGTCGGTTATGGCGGCCATGGCCGCAGCTCCAAATTTGCAATTGTTCGCTCAACATCCGAGCCTTAATCCTATGTATGGTGGATATGGGAACCCAGCTTTGGGAGGTGGAATGTTGAACCAAGGAGTAGTTCCCATGAGTCAAGTGGGTCCGATTGGTAGTTCTGTTGGGGCTGGCATAGGTTTGAGTGGTTACAGTGGGGGGTCGTATGGCTTAAGCCAATTAGGTGCTGGTGGTTCGTCATTGCTAGGCTCTTATGGCCCTGGTTCGTCATCACTGAAGGGGTTGCCGCACATTTACTCAAGCTCAATGCTTGGTAAGACGGTTTCTGAATCGGGTCAGACGGCTGCTGGTGGATCTTACGGTGGATACACGTCACATTTGTGGTATGAGATGTTTCATATTCTTTTTATTTACTGCACTTTAAGCCTTCTATCATTTGTATGTTTCAACTTTTCATTCAGTGCTTAGCGTTGATTACAGTGATAGGTAGTATGTATAGATTATTAATGAGTGCTGTTAGGACTGCCATCCACAACAGCCTGCGTGTACAATTTTGATTTAGGTAATTGGTATATAAAGTACCTAAGGCTACCATTAGGTGGTAATTCTAAGAATTTAGTATATAAAATACCCAAGGCTACCATTAGGTGGTAATTCTAAGAATTTATAGTATTGTAATCCTCTTATTCACAAGGTGGTTATCAAACTTTAAAATGGTTAAAGATGCCCTTCTCAAGGTCATACCTAGGCAGCTTTATTTAATACTCCCCACATATTATCTATCTATATTCAGGATGCCAGTGGAGCTATCAAAGTAAAGTAGTTGAAACGGAATTGTAGAGACTTCTTTGAAATGAGTTCGTTAAGGAAGGAGGTTTATGAATTGTATCTAGTGAACTAGAGGAGGATAGCTTGATGCTGTCGTGATGCAAGACGTTTTAGGAGGTCTAACGTTTATTGGGTGCAGATAGATGTGACTCCAGTTATGGTAAAATTTTATGCTTAACAGGTCTATCAATTTAAGAATAGTGATGTTGAAATTGACTTATGGAAAACCGAAGTGTGATCAAAATATTAGCTAAATGGACTACCGAGCATAAAAGAACCGAATCAAATTGACCGAATTAACCCAATTTGTATTACCTAACTATTTTCTGCTCATGAAATTGTACCTGCCAATCTGCATTGCTCAATTGGTCCAAATTGACTTGATAGGGTTGGGTTTTTCAATTTTGATTTGGGCTCATAGCCCATTAAAAAGGGTGTAGAAAATATTTACACGTTTTAGATACTCTTAGGCTTTTCTTGTTGGTCCTCATGCAACAAAAGAGCAGCTCTTCACTAAAAGTTGATTGCATTGATGCCTGATGGAGAGAAGGTCCCTGCCCTTGGATCCGAGACCAAACTTTTTCTTAAGAGGATAGATGGAGAAATTTATGTGAACTCTAAGTAGATTCACAATGAACGTACATCTTTGATAGGTATAAAAATAATTCTATTTAAAGCTGCTTTGATAATTTGCATGGCACTCATGGTGCATCTATTTGTGCCAAGGGTCCTAGACTGGATTCTTACCTAGGCAACATTTAGATCTGTCTCACAATTCATTGGAACACCAAAGCGATTAAGATTAACAAGTCTTGGCATTTTCTTATTGATGATAGTCAACTAATTTGAAAGAGGAATCAAGGTAAGGCTTTTGAAACTTTTAAAGATGTTGGGAGTGTTTTGGAGTAATAACGTATCATAGTGAATTACCTTGTTCTTGAGATGTGTGCTAAAACATCATGTGTAAAACTAAACAGCTATTGAAATAAAATTGAAGATAATACTATTGTATCCCCTAACGTCGTACATCTAGCTGAGAGAGTGGGGCTAGAGATAGGTCTTTCGGTTTGCTGTTGTTGGGTGGTGAAGGATCAAGAATGAGAGGGAAGGTGTGCTTGTTAAGTGCAGTGACAGATGGCAATGGCATATGGTCAGGGACAACTGCCAAGTGGATCTCAAGGTGGTGGAGGCAGGTATGGAGGCGATGGGAATGGCTGAACTTGAGACTGCTATAGCTGTGGTGAATCTGGACATTTCACCGGAGAGTATCCACACCGTGTCCATTAATATCATACATTGGTGATTGACAGTTACTTTTCTTGCTTGTTGATGTGCTTGATTAGGTTTCGTTCACTATCTCGGTTTCAATATAATGGGTCTTTAAGCTGGGTCTGTTAGGTGTTTTGAGATAGGATCTAGAAGCTCTCTTTATGGATTTCCCACCCGCCCCCCCCCC